TTTTCAGAAAAATGTCTCAAAACGATTGTCTAAACAGTTAGCAATTAATAGCTGACAATTAACACTGGCTCTATATGTTAGTGTTAACAGCTCAAACCTCCTGCACTGGTAAAAAGTGAGCTCAGAAGCCTTTGTCCCTGGGGTCTGATGTTTGTACCTTTGCTGAGGACGTGAAGGGCCTCTGGTCTCCGTCCTCCGTGTTGGACCCTGTCCCTCTTGCCGCGAACCACACAGCACATCCAATGCTGTCATCAAGCACCGTCTCCAGTGGATGCACCAGGTGACAAATTCGCTCCTCGCGCATTTTCTGCAGCTCCTCCTGCGTCACGTTGATTTCAACAAAATTCCATCTTCTTTCAGGATTCAAGTCTTGTAATTCCTTGAGACCGGCTTTCCCAGTAACTCTGTCAGGGACATCAAAGGGGCTGGAAGCTCGGGGGGCAGCTCCATCAGTCGTGGGATCTGTGGCCTTGTTTTTGTGCTTTCGGGGTTTCTTTGTGGACTCCTTCTGCTTCTTTGGCTCCTGTAGTTTAAACGCTACATTGAGAAGATCTACTGGTTGATGAGCAGGTATGTGACGATCCGCTAAGGCAGCCAGGATCATTGAATCGATGCCTCCTGAAAAAAGTATAGCGACACCAGCCTGGTCGTGAGCAGGAGGGGGACACTGAACCCGTCTCCTCACCGCCTCACTGAGGACATCAATAAGACGGCTCACCTCGTCGGTTTTCTCTTTGCTTGCGAGCAGCTGCTCCAGATCCTTAACACAAGAGTCTGGAGGACTTTGTTTCTCATTTAGTGACTCTGGGATGGATGTATTAAGGGGGCACACAGGTGAAGGGAGTACGAGGCCCGACTGGTTCATCACAGCGGTGCAGCCAGCGGGGACAGACTCCGATATAGTTTCACTGCGACTCGAAAGATCATTTCCCCCGTGAGCCCAAGGGTAAACTTCAAACGTCACATGGCCGGCTCCCGTGGCCGCCTTCAGGTCAATCCTGTACACACCAACAGCCGGGACCTCCTGCCAAGCAGACTGCTCAGGTCCAGAGCTGTGGGCTGCCACCGAAGTCAGGGTCAAGGTGTTGACGTCCGCATCAAATTTCCACAACAAACTCCTCCTACCAAAAAAGTCTCTGCCAAACCAGAGGTAGTCTCCAGCCTTTTGGTAGTACACAAACCCCCACGGTCCCTGTATGGCGGACAGGACGGACAGAATCTCCGAAGGGCTGTTGCAGGATGACAGCCGCTGAGAGACGACAGCAGTGTCATTTTCCTCCGGCCTCACAGGGAGACCCCCAAAAATCTCCCCGTTCCACTCCAGGACATTCCCGGTGTTGTCTTGAACTGGCTGCGGGGTAAGAAGACCTCTCATGTGGAGAACGTGGGCAGAGAATAAACACTGATAGCAGGGGCCTTTAACTGGGAGATCCTGGCTCAGGTTGGGCCCTCGTCTCTTCAAATGTTCATGAACGGTTTTGTCCCACTCAAACTGAGCGGGAGACAGAGTCAGCAGACAAAAGATGCCACACATTGTTGGGATGAAGCTCGGTCTCACATATCCTGCAGGTCCTTTTTCATGTTATCCAGTTCCTCTGGAGACACAAGACGCTATGTTAGCACATTTAATTTGTGCAGCCACAGTTATTATTTAATGAGACACAAATATATGTTGTTTATCTATTAACATTCTATGTATTCATGTTTACAGCTTTAACATACTTTTGCATGAACCCAGGGTCTGACTTCTGTCTGCTAGGAAGAAGATGTTACTGTTCCTCTGCTGGATGTAGACTTTCTGGAGAAATAAATACACACAAAATGTGGATTGATACATACAAAAACAGTAAAATTAGTAAAAAAGAAAAGACGTTCCTTTTTTTTATTGCCTTTTTAACATAAGAGCAGTTTAAGAGTCACAGCAAAGTGGGCTGCTGGAGGAAATGCTTTTGAATTATAAAGGTAGAGCAAAAATATCAGGTATAAATAAATGCCAGATCCTGACAATATCAAAACTTGGGATGCTGCGTTATGATTATTCTATGATATCACACTGAATATGATGTCGTTTTTTCTTTTATTTCCCGCTCTTATAGCCTATAACCTATATATAATATAAGGTATTAACCTTGAACTGATTACATATAGTAGCCTATTTCACATGTGTGTACATTAGGGCTGCACAATTAATTAAAATATTATAGAAATCGCAATATGGCCAAGTGCAAAATGCAAATCGCATTAGCTGTAATGATTTAATAAAAGGTCAAATGTGACAAACAGCATTATAATGAAGTATTGTAGAGCTGCAGAGGTGCTGTGGTCCACACATCTTCTCCAGTTTGGTACAAACCCCCTTACATGCCACATAATCATGACTTTAATCTGTTTTTTTAAATGAAAATTCAATTTGTGGTGCAACAATGATGCGTGTGTGTGTATACTGTGTCTGTGCCCTGCAGTGTAAATATGCCTGTTGTAAACTGTATAGTAGTGTTTTGTGATGCAGATTATACTTGCTATTAGCTTTTGTGTTTAAGAACTGTATGAAACTATAAATGAATAAATAAATGTTTCCTTTAACTCTACTCACCCTGTTTTTCTTCAGATTGGAGAGCTCGTCCACTACAACCTTCTGCTCCTTAATCTGAAAGATAGCAACACCAATTAATGGCAAGTTATTCAGCAAACAATTAATAAAAGCAGCTGAGAGTCCGTATATTTGAACATAACCGTATATTTCTACCTAATATTCAGATTGTGCTTTGTTTAATATCTGTGGCTAACGTTACCTTTCTGTTCAGTTCCTCCTTCAGTCCCTCAAAATTATCGCTCGAAGACATTTTGGAGGGAAGAAACGTAAAGACAAAGACTTTGAGAGTTTATATTAAAGTTATTAAAGTTATTAAAGGTGGAAGCTGTCTAATCTCTGTGTAAACACATGTTCAGCTGCTTTAAAAGCGTTTCCGGGTGCAGAAGTCAGAACAGTTCTCACTTTACTGCCCCCTGCAGGTGGGCGGCTGACACATGTTTCTACTCTTATTAGAGATTCTCCATGTACAGTTATTGGATTGAAATATATATATTTAAAGAGCTAAAGCCACCACTTTAAGGCAAACTAACATTTTCTGGAAAAAAACTGACTTTTGGAGAATTTTAATGGGCTGTCGGCTTCATGGCACCTTACTAACAGGGAGCTTCATATTTAGCCTCTCGTCTAACTGTCCACAAGAAGCTTCTTGGCCAAAAAACCCCAAAAAGACCTTTTCTAGCTTCATCAAATTGTTCAAAAACGACCTTTTCCAGCCAACCAGCTCTTTGGGTTGTTGTGTAATGAAGTCATTATCCAGTGTAATCACTATATTTTAGCATGTAGTACTTTGAATATATGTGAAAACACATATTAATACATCTGCATCTTGCTATTTTTAAACATGTAGATGATTAAAAACACAAAGCAGTAGTTTCTTTTGACCCAGAGCAACACGTAGGCTTTCTATGTGCCATCTCATCCCATGAGGGAGCAGAACTGACACTAACAAGGGAACATAAGCACATATTTTGAGCTAAGTAATGACAATAGGCGCTTCTTTCCTTTTGTGATCTATTCAAGGATCACACAGAGAGCTCTCCATTTGAAACACACATTGAGCTGGTACAAACAGATTACCAGCCACACTATTAGTGGGCCGGTGTGTCAGCCAGGCTCAGTTACCTGTCATCAGCGGTCAGACGGCTGCTGTGTCATTTTGCGGCCATGTGACCTGCAGGTATGTGTGCCCCCCCCACCGACGGGATCCCTTTACAGCCCGGCTGGTGGAACAACAACCTGTGTTTAGGTCGGCTAAATTTGTACTTCCAGGACAAAAATATGAGAATGACTTGCCTCCTGTGGCCGTACGTTGTCTGACACTCACAAGCCACAGCTAAAGAAGGAATAGAGGTGGAGGGAATGTGAAATCTCACCTGAAGGACAGTGTATGTGAGGCTGGATCAGATTATTCATCCATTCTTCATGCAGGGATTCTGGTCTTTTTTTGTGCTGAGCTCTTGAACCTTGTTGCATTAGAGCTAAAAGGTATTACAGTACAGCTCCCTGGCTCAGTTATTTATTGATATTTAGCTGGAAGAACTGAAGCTTGAGGTCTCCCAAAATCCAGCTACCAATACCAACCATCTCAGTGACCAAAGGACACGAGGAACAATGATTATAATTATTACCTTTACTCATTTTTGGAACATAACAGTATTGTGGTCTTATTGTCTCTCTGGGTATCTGCTGCTGACCGAGGGCCTAAGACTTTGTGCCTGACAGATCCACTAGAGAACGATAAACATCAACGGTCACTGTCTGGCCACCTTTCCCAAAATGACAGCTCTTGTTTTTCAGGGAATGAAACGGTAAACATCTGACAGCTGTTTCAGATCAATATAACAGTGCAGCCCAGTAGGCAACGAACCAACATGAGACCTCAGGCAGGTGTGTTTGTCTGTCACGCTGCAGGTTCGAAGGGTGCTTGACCCACTGCTGGAGCAAGATCAACATTTGTGTCATCCAGGATAATTCCTCTTTGTCGGTTGTTGACCGCTGCCTGTCAGGTCAAGAACGATATGTCACTGGGAGGTTGCTCCAGGTTTTTGCAGGCTTTTTTGGGGGGGATTGTTGCGGCCTAAAATGTCTGATTTTAGGGAAGAAATTGCAATGTTTTTAGGCTTTTTTTGTCATCAAATTGCAAGAGAAAGGGGGCGCCCTTCTAGTTCACCTGGTAGAGCCCCACTTAAACCCATGTACCAAGACCGAGTCCATGGGTTCTAGTACGACTCTCTTTGGTCCAGACTCAATAAATACCCTATGTGGCTTTTTCCTTTCCCTTGTTTTTAATCTGTTGGTATTGTTAGGTCTCTGTAATGTTAAAAGGAGTTCGGTCTAGATCTGTCTATTTGAAAGTGTCCTGAGATAACTTCTGTTTTCTGAATTGGCGGCTATAACAACATAATAATTGAGATTGACATTGAATTGGATTTGAATTAATCAAAAAGATCCCTGAAGACTTCCTTGTGACCGTTCATCACACACACAACACATGCAGAATCAGGTAAGGAGTTTAAAATGTGACCCACAATCCCCTGGGTCCACAATAAAGGTGGGAAGCTTAATGTGGCAGCAGCTCTTTTTCCACTCTTATATAAACTCCTCCAACCAGCGCTCCCCCAAGCAGGAATTTCCCATTTAGCAGCAATACAACCAATGTTCTTCTCATCTGTTGTGTACCTAGTACAACATGGGGTTTAGGACACATCAGGATCTTTCATACCTGGACCAAAGGTTCTGAGGGCATTTCCACAGACAAAACCAGCATATATTTTTAGTGCATGTTCGCATAAATAGGTGTTGAATGACTCACAAATTACGTCTCTGGCTTGTTATTCCAGCATTTTTTTACCTACTTATACAAGAAAACTTGTGCTACTTATATTTTCGCTCCATCATCTGAGTCAATTTTCCACCTTTGTTGTGGTGGGAAACACTGGGAATGGTTGACTGACTGAACAAGCCAAGTGTTTTATTTAATGGAGACTTGATGTGTGGAAGGACGGTCACAACATGAAGGTCCTTGTGTGTTTCCACCTCAGCTAAGACATGAGGTCTTGTGTGTGTAATATGTGTGTAGTCTGTCTGTTTTAGTGTGTGTAGCCCTGTGCATTATAGACTGTGATCTGTCCATGGCGGTTACCTGTCTCTTGCTAATGCCATTTTGCGATTAGCATTCGCATCATTATTGTGACTTTGAATAGGGGGACATTTTTTTAACCAGGACAGTAAATTAATAAATTAATGTGATTAATGAATGTACTTAGGGTAACTGATAAAAGTCTTTTTTTAAATGCGTCGCTCGGTTAAGGCTGTTAAAGCCAGCACAAAATTACAAACGGTATGTCTGAATGTTTGGTGATAAAATGAAGGATTAAGGCTTCACTATTATGGAGTTGAAAAACTTGCTCCTCTTGTTAAGCAGTACAATAACGAATTTGAAAAACCCTTATGGTTGGATTAGCTGGAAAATGCACTTGTCACAAAGCTCAAAAACAGGGCTGTTTTTACAGCTCGTGAAAAGCTGGACTTTTTTTTAGGAGGAAGAGGGGTTCTCAACAGGTACGGATGGTTTTACAGAATATGAATGCTTGCTGTTGATTAAACTACTAAAAAAATGACAATTACAGGCACATGAATACAATTTACTACATTATACAGCAGTAATTTTAAATAACAAATCATATTATAATAAACAACTGGCCAAGGCACACCAAAACTTTACTGCCAACAATGAATTGTACTTTGAATATCACAGTGTTTGCTGAACTATACTTTTAACAAATAAACCATACAGATAACCTTTTACTTAAATGTTGCAAAATGCGAACATTTAACTTATAGACAGAGTAAGTTATTCAAACACAGTGGTGGCACTGAATA